GGCCAGAGGGCCCGGGGCGCTCCGGGGCGGCGCTGCGCGGCTCAGCCCGCCCCGAGCGGCTGGAGGGCACCGGCGAAAGGAGAAGCGCTGCGTTAGTCACCCCGGCTCCAAATGCCAGACAAAGGGAACACAGAGCTCGGCCAGGATGGGGTGAAAACCCCCGCGGCAAAATGAGTTTATTTGTAAACTGCTACTTGTTGCTCAGAGAGCACCGTAACAGCTGCACCGTGTAATAAAGTTAAAAAGCACATCGAGCCAACAGGTTGATCTCACATACATTCTGTGTGTATTCATCGTGTACTTAGGTACATTCAAGCACTGCTGAACACAGGCTCTTAAAAACGCAACTCGAGAATGGCTTTGAAGGCACATTGTGGCTCCCTCTCTGCAACTTGCTTCGCTCCTGGTGTTTCAGCTCCAGGGATAAGGCAAAAAAGTATCCCGTCTTTTTAAACAAGTGCAAACAAGTTTTTTTTCCCCACCTGCACCTCTTCATACATCTGCCTTACAGCTTTAGGGAAGACACAGATGCTTTGAAATCCAAGCGCTGAAAGCAGCTAAACCTTTTTGTCCATATAGATTCTAAAGATAGAAATGCCAAAGTTAGTTACTCTCTGCACTGAAGTTTCAGCCTTTTTGAGTTTTGGATATTTTTCCATTCATTCACCCATTCATTACTGTTTAGGAGAATATTCAAGGCAACAGCTGAAATGTGCCATCTACTGGACACACAGGCCCAAAAATAAGAAGAAAACACATACCCCATACTGATTTGAGTTGGCAGAATTCAGCCTGGTTGGTCACTAAAGTACTGGGATGCAGGTCTAAAGAAAAACAGTACAGTTTAGAGCTGAGAGAAACCACACACTGCTCAGATAAGTGATCCAGCAAGCACAGACATGTGCACATATGCACAGCATACCACTAACAAATATTTGGATAATGTCTCTACAAAGCAACTTAACCTAAGATCCATTTAATGTTGAAAGAGTATTTTCAAAAGCAAGAGTGGCACTTCACCTCCTCAAACCAAGTTAGTAGTAGATAAAGGATAAATAGAGCAGGAAACAGACTATTTCACATAGGACAGTCTAAGGAGACAAATTTTTTTTTCACTCTTGTACTATAATATTAGCAAACATAACCCATAATATTTCATAGTGCATTTGTCAGTTTACTTTTGAACAGGGGCTTTGTCACGTGCCCTCAGTGACTGTCTCACCCAAGTTCATTCCAAAGAAGGAACCTGTTTACAAGTCTCTTAATGGAAGCAAGATGGTTCAGACATTCCTAGGCCCAGCCAGAACTGGAAGCTCATTTCACAGAGCTAAGAATAAGAGTCCTAATTCTGTGTAACAAGTTGCACAAAAGACAAAGTTCTTTGAAATCATCCCAAAAGAAGTACAACAGATGTGCTGCATCATGACACCAAACCCCAGGTATCACCCCATCTCCCACTCACAAACACAAAAACTCAACACTTCAGCAATACATTCCCAGGTCTTACAGGTTCAATATATCTAGCTTTTAGTTCCGAACACTGGAAACATTTACATCAGGGTTGTACCTAAAATGGGTACAGCTATCTTGGAGTGCTAAGCTGCCACTTCCAGGGCTTGCTTTTAAAAAGATGCTCTTCTGAGGATGTGTATATACACACACACACACATTTTTATACATGTATTTACACAAAGGCATGAAAGGATGATCAAACTGAAGGGCTAGTTAGCTCAGTCCATTTCAGAAGGCTTAAACAATGAAAAGGATACAGTTGAAGATAAAAACCTGCAACTGTTCCAACAGACCCTTCACAACTTTAGTAGAAGAGTAATGTATAGATCACTGAAGTCAGAACAAAATTAGCTTTATGGCTCCTTATAAAAGTTGTTTTCCCCCATGCCAAAGATAAAGTAGAAATAAAAGCCAATATTAAAAAGAAAAGAGAATTGAGTATACCTTGATGTAAGCTAAATCTCCAAAACCACTCTGAGCAAGATCAGCCTGACTCAGATTTTTCCAAGTTTACATAAGTTAAGCCAGAGCATCAGCAACCCCTGAAAGCAGTAACAAGCTGACTTTTCAGGTTAAACATCCAGAATTAAAATGAACCTTCACTACTCATGAATATAAGAACATGCAAGTAGCTACAATATAAATAAACCCCTCTATTTTTATTGCTTAAATTGCATAGTATAAAACAAAGTGGTGGAGAGTGATGTACACATGTATTCAAAGATAAAAAGTGCTGGAAGGAAGTGGAAGAATCATCAGGTACAAAGTGACTGTAATTTGAGACTGGACCTTTTGTGTTCTGCATTCAGTGCAGCAATCATTTATGCAGAGAAAAGAGTGAAACGTCCCGGAGGCTGCGCAGGCTGGCACTGATGTCACGCCTCTGTTTTAGATTGCATCTTCCGGTGTATTGGGTCACGTAGTTGTCAGGGGCACGTCCCCTCCTGGATAGGATATCCACCATGTGGCTAAGCTTCGACCTGATAGTAGAGTAGTGGAATTGCCTCTCTTTATGCAGTTTTTGGAAATATTCTGCCCTGTGACTGCCAGAATATTCAAAGGACCGGAGAGAAGACAGTGAGCCAGTAGAGCTTGCAAGAGAGCACTGGGATGATGACGAAGACAGTGATCGCAGACTAGAACTTGATACAGCCTTTCCAGACAGAGAAGATCCTTCTTTTGACAATTTTCTGTGAAGCAGGGGTGTTTCTGTGTACTCATCTTCCTTTGTCTGTGTCACTGCAGCCTTCAGCAAAACTGAAGTCTGGGTGCCCGTCACTCTAGCAGCGACAGATGTCTGAGTGCCAGTTTCTGCCGTTACAGCAGCAGCCTGCATGGCAGCATTACACGTGGTCACTACAGGCTTCTCTTCCCATGGGCCAGTTTGAGTCGATGTGCTTTTCCGTTCAACTATGGCCACTTGATCACTGAACCACTCCTCTTCACAGAGGCAAGAACGCCCCAGCTTACAAGGTTGGCCTCCAGGAGTATCTTCAGCCAGATCTAGTTCTTTCAACGGTTTCTTTGGTGTACTAGACAATCTAGCAAATTCTGCTCTCAAATTGTCTTCCACAGTATATTCTTTGGGGGACTCTATTCTGTTCATCAGATGATCAAATATCCCACTGTTCCTGCAGCTGGACGGCCATTTAGGGCTGATGGGCATCGACTGGGCATAAAGAATCCTGAACTGGAGGTCAAAGTGTTCAACCACTTGACCTGACAATAGCAGCAAGTTACTGCTGTTCAGTTTCCCATCGGACCACGTGAAACTGTTGAAAACAAACCAAGATTCACAGTTAATCTTCAGTGCATTTCAACACATACCATTACAGAGAGCAAGACTCAGCTCAGAAGTACCATGCATAAGGAAGGTAGAAAGTCAATATACAATTCACCCTTCTTCAGGAAGAACTCTATTTAGCCATAGCCAAGTGCTTTATTAGCAACAAGTTGTGCAAACCAGTTTTCCAAAGCTGTTTCCAGTTTTGTGTTAGCCCCACTTAGACTCAGCTAGGCCACTTGCCATTGGCATTCATTAATACCAGGCAAACAGCAAATTTAATAGATCCTTCTTGCAGAAACTCCCCCTTAGCTTCATCAGGCACCAGCAGACCCTAATACTTGCCTGTAGGAGCCTGTTGTCACTCTAATGCCATCAATTAACATGAACTTCTCATGGACTTTCCCCACAATTTTGGCACCTGACCTCATGTAGTATGTGTTCCCTGTGAGAGTTCGAACTCTCATCATCTGTTTCAGAAAAGAAGGGGAAAAGCAACATTAGATTTGCATTAACTTCCAAATAGGTTTGATTTGCAATACTACCAAAAAGCAGCTACGCACACTATGGAAGATAGGAATGAAATTAACTTCCTTACATTGCCTGCATTCAAGGGTTACTAGTTACACGGTGCTAAATTTCTGTTAGGAGAGTCTGTAGAGAGAACAGCCAGTTCTAATTAATTACGACCTATGAAGCTAGGGCTGTTTCCCCATCCAGAGAAACTCTCACTGGGGTGAACATAAGCCTGCCCAAAACATGTCAGCTTATATTCAGAGAAATTAAGTAAACCACCTGGGTCACATCATCCAAACCCTCTTAAAAAGAAGAAACTATGTATTAGGAAAGAAATGAGATGTTACCAGAGCTATACCACCCTTGAGCTTCCTGTGTTTCTGTTTTCTTTAGCAAGCAGTTCCTTGAGCCAAAGGCTAAAGGTACTGAGATCTTGTGAAATTAAATGTTTGAGAATTGTTGCTTCCTCAGGACTAGGCTCACAGTGCACACTCTGCCCAGCACACCAGGCTGTTGCACAGCATGGCTGTAGCTCTACATATGGGTAGCATAAGGTAGTAGGTGTGCCTTTTCTGCATGGTTTTTACTGAGTTTGTGAGCAGTTTCACATGTTGGATTAGATACTGTACTGAAACCATGCGATACATAGCCTTGATCTTCAGGAGCTGAGAAACATTTAAGAAAATCCCCTTTTACATCAGTTATCAAACTACAGGATGCTTTAGTCTTTCAAGTGAGTCTGATGTTTTATAGAAGGGTATTTTTGATAGCCATAAACATAGAATGAACCATAAGACATAAAAATAAACCACAGCCACCCACATTTAGTACTTACACTTTCCTGCTCAGGACAAACCCCCAAATTCTTGCACATTTCCAAGAAATGGGGTAGAAAGTCCTGGTCAAGAAGGATATAGACAGGGACTTTGCGGTTGTTATAGGCATCCTGAAGGTCACCAAAGATATCAATATCCGTGAAGGAATCCATCACAAGGGCAATCACCTACAAGAAAAATGACAACACTTGTTCAGGGTCTTTATTTTACACAAGGTCAGATCACTGCCTCCTCAGCCATTTTCTCCTGCTGCTATCAAGGCCAGAACGCACATTTCTTTGCCCTGCTGCGCAGGCTCTGGCAAGTTATACAAGATTTCTATGTTCCCACAATGTTTCTGTAAATTCATTCTGTCCTGGAGTGGAAAGCATACACCTGAAGAGGTTTTTCCTCACGTTTGCTGCGGCTTTTGTACATTTTTCACAGCCTGCTTTCCTACGTAATCTCCTTGATCTGCCCTTTTGATAACACTGGGGAAGCTATCACAGCAGAACCTGGAATCCAGACAAAACATCTTTACTCCTGTTCTCCCAGACTGGCATACCTGCTACAAATAGCCACTACCTGCAGGAGAATTAGCCTGAACGGCCTCCTTGCTGCCACAGCTGAACATCTCACAAACTCCAACTGACTGTTCTTTGTGGGTAGGAAGGAAATGCTGTCCCTATACAAGTTACCAAGAAATAAGCTAGTTCTGTGACAAGATATAAACTGAATACACAATTTCCAGACTCTTACTAAATATATTCCGAGTTTTCATTCCATACTTGGACAAGAAAACCTTCCTCACACTCAACTCAACAGTTCTTTACAGAAGGCAAGTCCTAAGACAGGAAAATTTTGTCTCAATGGGCCAAAGACAAGGCAATAGTTCATTTATGAACAATCTCTCCAGCTAATTCAGAACCATGCTGCACACTGTTTCAGTGCTAGAACTCTCACCCTTCAAAACCAGGAACACAAAGGCATAAAGGATTTGGCTTCATGATTTACTTTTCTATTCTATTAGACCAGCATCAAGGTCAACCATTATACCAGCAGGTACTGCAGGTACCTGGCACCTGTCCTTACCTGATGGAGAAGGGTCACTGCTGCAACACACCCAGGACATGTGCATGCAACACAGCAGCTCTGTGTGTGGCATTGCTTGTACTCAGGGAAAACATTTCCCACAAGAACAGGCTAAGCTTTGCATTCCCACCTGTGCCCTGCTCCCTAAGGCATTGGCTCTGTATGGATGACTTCTTAGGTATAACTCACACAGGCATGTTGATATTTCTAGATAAAGTTAGTTTATGCTTGTGCTTCTTACGAGTCTCTTGTGCTTTTGTCCACCCACCAAATAAGATGCTTTTGATAAGACAGATGAGTAAGAAAATAACCCCTGAAAACAGAACAATTCACACTTAGTCCCTTAGAAACACTGGTGCCTTCAAATGACTACTCAATTAACAGCACATTTGAGTTCTAATTCCAGAATTAGCAGCTGAAAAATACACTTCTACTCAAAATGAGCAAAAGTAGTTGTGTTTAGAGGAGAAAGAAAACCCTTTTCTCTACATTCATCCATTTGGGATAGCAGACGCAAGATAGCAACAGTGTCCCCGTTAGTCACTTGAGCTAACCCCATTTGAGTGATCTGAGAAGCGGCTATACAGCATCTGAAATTCTCCCATTCCTCACATTAACCCGAAGAACTCAGACATGATTGAGCAGTATCGCACAGCATCTGATATTCAGTAAATTATAGGGGGTCAAAAATTTCTCTCTGTTCTGTGTCCACAAAGCTACTCTCTGGATCAGGTACGTACTTGGCATGAACAGCTTGCCTGGCTCTTGGCTCACTGCAAGGGAAGGTGTTTGGCAAGATGCAACAAGCAAGAACAATACAAACAAGTAGCATTTTAGAGAAACATGTTTTCACGGAGTTTACTCAAGTCACCAAGCCGATCTCATCTACCTGATAAGGATACTTTGAGAAGAGAGCTACCTCTGGGACCGTTTCTGGCCAGAAGCCCACCGTTTGTGTCAGCCTCACACACGCCTTAAGCTTCTGCACTCAGAAGCAGGCAAGGACTAAGCTCTGCGGCTGATTCAGGGTGTGCCATGTGCAAGCACGTGTTACACATAGAGCCAGGGATTGCTTCACCTGGCCACCTGAAGAGGAAGCTATGCATTTAAATTTTAGCTAAACCAATTGAATGGCTGCTAACGAGAAGGGCGGTTCCCTCCTGCGAATTACAGTCAGAGGCTATAAACTCAGGTAGCACAATAAATTACAGAGAACAGTTAGAAATTACCATGCCGTGTGATTTTTAAGCCATAGTCTGTATCGGATCAAAACCACCCACTCCTGTAGGAGGGAAGTCCTGCTACAAGCAGGTCTGCACATCACTTAGGGGCAATTAATGAGGTGAAGAAGGGGGGTATAATCATAGGGTTATCTCTGTGGATAACCCTGTTTTATAAGAGACGCCTTTTTTGTGTCACATCCTTTAAAGGAGAGTGAGCAAACCTGGCTCGCAGAGCACATCAGTTGGGAACCTGGAATAGGAAACTTTCTGCTTTGAGTAGGAGCAAGATCGGCGTCGTGGTGGTGGTGGTTTGGGCTGGGACTGTGGCGGCGGGGCCGCATCCAACGCCGAGGAACTCTTGGCCACCGCCCCTGGTGCAGCATCACCGGGAAACGGAGATGGCACGGGAGATGCGCGGCGGCAGGACGAGCACCGCCCGCTGGGCGCTCAGAGCTCTGCCCTCCGGACGGGCCTTTCTCGCCTCGGCGGGAGGGTTTAAAGCCCCTTGGCCATGCGGAGCGCCACGGGAAGGAGATGCTCGTCGATACCGACGCTGATTTCTGCTCCGGTTCGCAGCCCCGCTGAAAAAGGGCCCCGGACCGGGCGCTGATCCCGGGGGGCGCCGCGGC